TTTGTTCACCTCTTCAATAGTTATTTCCCTATTTTCATGAGAAGAACCGTTCCCAGTTATGTCCATCTCGGTGACAAGTTCATAGCATTTGAAAACTTCTTCTGCAGTTCTTTCACTATTACCATCATAATAACCATTCGTATTTAACTGGATCTCAGTAGGAACTCTCTCTCTGCATTTGTTGTCAAGATCACTGAGAGAAATCAGCGTCACATTGCTTGAAACATTAGCCTCGTCATCTTTAGTTGCAGTGTCACTTTGATCATCAGGGGTGGTTGTGGCTACTACCTCCTCTTGGGATGCTGTTTCTTCTCTGAGGGTTTTACTGATCGTCTTCTCTCCATCCATTTCAGACGAAAGCACACTTTCAGCCAAATCTTTTGGCCCGTCAGTTTCTACCAGTACTTTCTTTTCAGCTTGACATGATGACAGTGCTTCTTCTTCACGATTGGAATTTGGTGTAGAAGATTCCTCAGTGGTTGGTGCAGAAGATTCCATGGTGATTGACGCAGATTCTATTCCATGAATTGAACTACTTGTCTCCACCTCCTCTGCTTCTACGAAATCAAAATCACTTGTCTCGATAGATATCCAGAAAGTAAAAAAGTACACATTCATTAGAAGTAAACTATTATAACATCTTAGGAATTGTCAAACTAACCTCTTTCAAAATTTGCCCTCTCCTCCATTTGATCCTCACATGTTCCCAACATGTTCTCCTCATTTTTTGGTTCTGTTGCCTTCTCAAGATGGTTCACTTCTTCGGCCAAAGATATAACTTGGCTTCCACTTTCTTGACCAGTTTTGTTGTCGGGTTCTATGGCAACTTCTATGGACTGGAGAGCAGATTTAGGCTCAAAGCCATTTTGCTCTAACCAAACAAAACAATTTGTGGTTGATAGCAATTGAAAGACAAAATCAAAAATACAATTTGAACTGTCTCCAGTATCAGCTCATTACTAACCTCTTAAATCCAATCTTGGTGAATCATTAGAATGCAATTTTTCAGCATTTGCATGGAAGTTTTTGTCTTCACTAACTGGAACTTCTTGATTCTCCCCTCTTACATCCTCCGCGAGATTTCCTTCCCCAGAAGAAATTTTCAAACCTTCAGCTGCCTTGTTCTGTTCTTCTACATTATCTAGCCAACAAGTGAACCACTTATGTTCAAAAGTACAGGCCTTTTTAGATTTAATTCTTTTGAAAACAGTTTACTTTTTCTGGAAACATCTCTAAGCCATTTTGCGTTTTGTTTCTAAAAACTGTTTCCTGTATAATTTTTAGAAAATAAACCCGGTTAGTTGTTTTCGGAATTCTCAAAAACTATTTTCACTCAGGCATGAAGACAGTATTGAACTAACTTCAATATCAAGTCATCCCTGACCTTTTAAATCTAATCTCGAAAGATCATTAGAATGCAACCCTTCAGCTTTTTCACAAAAGTCCTTGTCTTCACTGGCTGGAACTTCTAGATTCCCCCACTTTACATCCTCCGCATCATTGCCTTCCTGGGAAGAATATTTTTGAGCTTCAGCTGCCTTGTTCTCTTCTTCTGCATTATCAAACTGGCAGGTGAACCACTTATGTTTCACAGCATAGGCTTTTTAGATTAGCTTTTTGGAAACAGATAACCCATTTTTCAGTTTGTTTCCAATACAGTTTTTGGGTGAAATTTTAGGAAAAAGGCCCAGTTTTAGAAAACATCAAAAAGTTGTTTTCAGAATTCCCAAAAGCTGTTTTCATTTTGATATGAAAATAATAGAGCTCTCAAGATTGTTAGTGTTTTATATTCTCCGAAAAGCAGCAGAACTAAAACCGAGAACAGAAAACAGAATAGAAAGGCTTGAAAACATTTGCAGCACGAAGCATACCTTTTAGTCCCGAAACGTTGTTGTTGCCCATCTCATTTCCCATGTTCAGCTACACAAATCCTGCAAAACCCGGAATTCCCACGGAGGCACCTGAGAGACTCAATTACACTTGAATTATAAGGCGTTTGATTCCAAAAATCTAACGGAGATCCAGACCTTCATACCATGATGTTAATTAATGATGTTCACATGCCAATATTTATCAACTTTAGAGGCCAGCTTGATCTTCCTAAGTTGCCAGTGTGTTAATACATGATTAGTACGGCCACTAACACTATTGTTGCTTTAAGCATAAGCCTTATCTGTAAATCCATAAAGCTGCGAAGTGGGAGTTTTTTGCCCGATATATAAATTCTCTCTCTGTGATCAAGAATTCTTTATTAGTGTTGGTTGGGACTTTGTTTAGAAAATTAGTTAAGCTCCTTGCTCCTATGATTATGTTGCGCCAGCATCTTTATCACTATCATTATTCCAAGAGATTAGAGCTATTAATTCTGTGTTCGAGGAATATTTAGGCCAGTGTGACAATCCCCTTTTAGGCCAACAAAACATAGAGTGTGTTTGGGCGGCGAGAAATTAATTGTTTGCCTTAGAAGAGGGGCCTGTGTCATGTTTTTTGCAGAACAAACAGGCTGGAGCCTTTTTTTCTTTCTTTTCTTTTCTTTTTTTCCATGGCCATATTGGTTCTGGTTAATTTCCAACAGAAAGCTTGGTGGGCTATTGAATACTGAAAATTGCATAGAGGGGTCACATGTTAGAAAATTTTCCTCCATTATAGGATCTGAAAGAGGGGAAAAAGTGGTCAGGCAGGACCTACATTGATGGACAAATCTCACCTAATTTAGTTGGGCTAATTTATCTGCAAAGCGAATCCGAGACGCAAATATGATGAGTTAAATGCATTGAATTCTATGATTAAGATGATCAACATCATTTGGATAGGAAGGTCTTGAATGTTCGATCACTGGTGAGTTCAGAAGCCAAACTCAATAGGATTCTCATCAGTTGTGACGACCCGTTTGGCATATTGTTTTGGAAAACAATTTCCGGGAGAACATTCAGAAAATATTTCCGTCTTTAGAGAACCACAAAATCTTTTTTCAAGATTTCCAGTATTTTCCGTTTCCGCAAACACAAACAAGAACCGAGAAACGAGAACAGAAAACAAAACACTAATCCAAGTGATTAGCATGGAATAATGGTTTTGATAAAGGCTTTGCAGAGGTGGGTCAATTACTTGGAGGCAAAGCTTGTTGTAGATGAAAGGTGGCTAAGAAAGATGTTTTGTTTAATGCTAATCTCATCATGGCATTGCATTTTCTTTGGAACTCTCCACCTTTGAGCATGATCAAAGGTTGATTCCTGGAACACTTCAACTTTTATTTGATTAATTTTGATATTTTAAAAATTTTCTTTGCTAGTGACAGGAAGGGAAAGAAGAGTTGGTGGAAGACCACTATGCCTGGCTTTTGGCATAATTTTAGGCCTTCAATTCAAATAATTATCTCTATTGCATCCACCTATGGGATTTGCTTTTTCCAATATTATCTAATCGCACCCAGAATTTTTCTCTTTATTCTTTAATCAGTCTCAGATTGGTAAAGTCGAAGAGAAATGAAAAAAATTGTACCTTGATGGGCTATCAAATTTGATTGCTTTCAGTGTATATTAACATTAATCTTGGAAGTTCAAACCAGATGAAGCTGGCCTACGATTGGCTTCTGCCAGTATTGAAAAACATTTTAAGTTTTTTAATTTAAATCTTGAAGGATTGGCATCCACTGGCACCAATGGCTATCTGTTATCCGTTGTATTTTTTTTTTTTAAAGGGCTGTTCGGATAATTTTTTTGAAGTAGTTTTTCAGCAATGATTATTTTTGAAATTAAGTTTTGTTAGAATTATAAGTATTTTACATTTAAAGTGCGTTTTAAAGATTTCAATGTAAAATTATAAAGGCAATTTTTTTTTATAAAATTATGATAAAATGCAGGTTATGTGTTTTTTTTTTTTCTTTGTTCTTTGTCTATTTGGTTCTTGCAGGAGAAAAAAGAAAAAAAAAAAGGAGAAGAATAGAGGGAATAAGAGGGACAGGGTGGGAGAAGAATTAGGTGACGAGAGAAATATATATATTCAAGTTGATATTTTTAACGAATTAAATTAGACAAAATTCATATTTACTTAATTTTTTTTAAATTATGAATTTTTATAATAGAATCATATTTATCAAATTTTTTATAAATTAAAAAAATTAAATAATCAGATTAAATTTGAATTAGATTCGAATTAAAATTTATGCTATTAATGGTACAATTAAGAATATTTACACAATTATATACTAATAAATCAAGCCTTTCATCTTGCCGCATATTACACTATTTAATATTATAATTATTAGAATCAAATTGAATAAATTAATTTTATTGATTAGATCAAAAACCGTTGTATGGGCCAATTTGGCTTGGTTATTATATTATTTTTACACTACGCCCAAATTGAAAAGAAAAGAACTATATCAAATGTTGCACTATATATATATATATATATAGACACACACACACATCGGTTGAACGGATTAAAACCAACCACTACATGATAATTTCTATTTTACGTTAGGATCAAATACTAATTGAAATCATACAATTGTTCAATATTAAAGTTCCTATAATTTAGTAAAAATAATTATAAAAATTTCATAAAAATAGTCATACAAATAAGTTAAAACTTTTATAAATTATTGAAAATTTTTTGTTATATAATTTAGTAAATACAGTAATACAATTTAACAAAAACAATTATGCAGTTGGACCTTTTTAAACAAATAGAATTCCCATCCTACATATTAATAAGAAATACATAGAATTCCTATTTTATGTATTATTTAAAATATCTTCAACCCATCCACCACCTAACTGTTGATATTTACGTCCGTCTAAACAAATTTCGCAATTTTATATTGATGGAAAATGGATTCTCCGGCACTGGCACACACTTGACCAGCCACCCGATCGGCCACGAAGCTGCTGCGATGCCAACACAAACACCCCACTGCCACCAGTTGAGCCGCTCCGTGTTGGCAAACTTCTTCAGAAACTCCACCATCACCACCTGAAGTACCACCGTTATCCCCACTATCCCAATGAATAGCTTATTCCTATGAACCCCTCAAACACATTCTTCTTCTCCAGCTTCCTCGCATTGAACTCGTTGAACACCTGGCACAACACGAATGCATTGAACATCAACGTGTCGTTCACGCCCTCGCTCACCCCAAATATCGATTCTCCTTTGAATTGGAAGATTAAGAGGATTGTAATTTGGTAGAGTGCCTGCGCGAGGAGGTTCCGCCACATGATGTTGGTGATGAGCGGTCCCGATCGGCCAACTGGCGCTGCCGCCATGAGCTCCTCCGTGGGCTTCTCGGTTGCTAGAGCTAGAGCTCCAAGTGTATCCATGATTAGATTCACCCATAGGAGTTGGACAGCCGTTAATGGGACTTCACCGCAGAAACGGCTGCCACAAAGTTGACTGCGAGCGCTGCCACGTTGACGATGAGCTGGAACTGGAGGAACTTCTGGATGTTGTTGTACACGCACCGTCCCCACCTGAGAAGAAAATATAGTCTAGTCGTGAGGAAATACACAATGCAGAAACATGACCAATTAAATTTTGATTTGCTCTTTTAAAACCATTCATCTAAAATATTATATACATTTAGTTAAATCATGTGATTACTGTTTACGAAAAGAAGAATCATACGAATATACCTAAGGACGGTTACGACAGAGCCGAAGTTGTCGTCCAATATCACAATATCGGAGCTTTCTTTTGCAACCTCTGTTCCTTGAATTCCCATAGAAAGTCCTATATCTGCCTCCTTCAGTGCTGGAGCATCATTAGTACCGTCGCCGGTGACCGCAACAACGGTCCCAACTTCTTCAAACATTGCACCATCAGAAGCTTACGATTGGCGACGATCTCTTCTCAACTCACAAAATCTTTCAACTTTCCTCATCCTCTCCTCCTCTATAATAATTCTAAACTTCTCTCCTTCAACCACAGCCTCCTTCAAGTCCTGTTCAACCTGAGAATACCACACTCTTAGCAATCGCGGTAGCGGTGAATATATTGTCGCCGGTGATCATTTTTACGTTTACTCCAGCGAGCTGGCAGCGCTCCACTGCCGTTGTCACTCCCGGCGGCATGGGTCCTTGAGACTACAAGACCCAGAAACACCAACTCCTTGTCTTCTATCTTCTGCTCTATTGCAATCTCTCTGTTTTCTTCTGAAAAACGCTTGTGAGCAAAAGCAATGCATCGTAGGCTACTTGCTGCCATAGATTCGATTATTTTAAGAATTTTTTCTCTCTCAATATTAGTCAAAACATTGGGTTTACCAGAGAGATCATAATAATGCGAGCACATTGCGAGTATCATCTCCGCAGCGCCTTTCCAATGAACATTAATGGAGTTATTAGATTTTTTCTTCATTGAAATTCCACTTCGTTTCTTTATTGAATTGAAAGCCTCCACGTGGACTATTTCACGCCCCTTCTTCATTTCCTCCATGTCCATCTTCAATTCGAGAACAGCCCACGACAGAATCGCCTTCTCGTGGGACTACCTGAGAATTCGAAACCTGATCCAGAACCCGAAGTAGAGCAAACAGAGCCGGTGGTGTTTAACCCGACTCCTTCATGGAGCAATTCGAGAAGGCTAGTTGAAATTGAAGACAAACGATGTTGTTCGGAGATCAATTCTTTGCCAAGCCAGAACTGGGTCACCTTCATCTCGTTGAGCGTGAGGGTCTCGGTCTTGTCTGTACAAATGGTGGTTGCAGAGCCCATTGTTTCACAAGCAGATAGCTTCCTCACCATGGCCTGATCCGCCATCATCCTTTTCATGGAATATGCCAAAGTGAGTGTCACGGCCAGCGGCAGCCCCTCGGGGATCGCCACCACCACGATAGTCACGGCTGCTGCGATTATTCCGACTATTGAATTGATGATGTCATCTGCTTTCGTCTTACTTCCATTGAACTCTTTATTTCCGTTGTCATCTTTGGTGTTTCCCGTGAAGTAGCGAACCAGTAAGACTACAAGTACTAGAAAAGCTATTAGAAGACCAACTTTGCCGATTGACGAGGTTAAGTTGTTGAGACGGGATTGGAGAGGGGTTTGTTCGTTGGAGTCTCTGCTAATTGTGCTCATCATCTCGCCCCAAGAGGTGTTTTTGCCGACCGTAGTGACGAGCATTTTTCCGTAGCCGTCGGCGATTTTCGTGCCGGAGATTAAGAAGGGGTTTTTGTTTGGATTAACTTCCACATGGTCACTTTCCCCTGTCATGCTGGACTCGTCGACCTGGCATAAGGCGGCAAAACGTGTTAACGTATTAATACATGCACTTGCATGGCATGATGTAGATGCATACTTACCAATAAAGAAATTTGAATTAGAAAGAACTTTTTCTATAATCCTTGAATTCATGAATAAACGAGGAAAGAAGTTTTTTTTCTATCTTTTTTGGCAAGGTTATCAAATGCAATTTTCTACTTAAAAACGTTTGGATGCTGTAAAACTGAAAATGTAAAAATCAAGTATAAAAGTATAGATTTTACTTAATACATACTATATATATATATATATAAAGTGATTAATTGACACTAGTATAAATGTAAGAATATTTACTTTAAATTTTATGCAATTGATTAAGTTAAATATAATGGATGAGATTAATTAATATTTTGAAAAAAAAAATAATTATAGATTAATATAATGAAAAGGAAAATAACACTGTAAAGAAAAATAATTGTAAATTAATATAATAAAAATAAAAATATGAATTAATCTAATAAAAAGAAAAATGACACCGTAAAAAAAATAACTATAAATTAATAAATAGAAAAAAAAATAATACTGTATTAATTAATCTCATTAATTGAATTTGACTAAATTAATGGTGTAAAATTTGGTATAAATATTTTATATATATGCTGGTTTTAATTGATTCCTTATATATACATATATATAATTTTATAAAATATAGACATAACTGATATAATATAAATAATAAATAACAATAACAGTTCAAATTGAAATAATTAAATAATAAATATTCAAATACAAAGTTGACATGAGTACAATATTAATAAAAAATAAGAAAGAATTAAATTAAAACAATTAAGTTACTTGCACAAAATAGAGGATGGGACAGTTCATTTGATGAAAATGGCTAGTAAAATTATAAATTTATGAACTTAAAATAAAAAGTGTGAAAACGACTAGTAAAATTGTAATTTTATACTTTTTATTGTTTTGAGATGAGTTTTCATAAGATTTTACATAAAAAAGATTTTAGATGTAATCGAAAATGTCTAGTATAAGTAAAAGTGTAAAAATATATGCTGCGCTTTTTGATAATCATGATTTTTTATTTAACTTTAATAAGATAATTTATTTAATTCAAATTAAAAACTAAAGCATTATTGATTTATATAAATAAATAAACAGTACTTTTAACTTAACATGCCAAAAATATTATGCTCACTTTCTAAATTATTAAAAATAAAATTCAAATTGAAGAGTAAGGTTTTCATGGCTGTTAATGTTAAATTAAGTTTTTTATTTAATTTATTTTTAATTATTTAAAATTTTGTCTTTTAAATATTTTATTATCCAAGTGGTTTGTTATCTCAGTAACAAATTGTTTTGGTGGCCAAATTGAAATGAATTATAAAATTTAGTGACCGTTGATGTAATTTATCAAGAAATAGATGCACAATTTTTTACAGAACTCTTATAATGGTTAAAAGATATAAAGTTTAAAGACAAATTTGTAAAAAAATTTATTTGAGGACCAAAACGAAAGGTTCTCAAGGGTAGAGACCAAATAAACTGGAAGAACAACATAAATATAATACTATAATAAAATTATAATTTTAGTTCACAGTTTTTAATAATGTTGACGACATTTTTAGTAGAAATGGATTATTTCATACTCCGTTTTTGGTAAC